AGGACACAGCATGGAAATGATATAACAAGAAAAGGGAATGTGGGGTCTGGAGCCAAGAAAGACCTATTTCACTTTTCTAGGACTCGGTTTCTTGGTATATAAAATGGGCATGCTCAGACCCATTGTAGTCAGGGTTTACAAGGCAAACAATTTAATACAGGACACATAATTTATAGGATTATTATGTAATAGTCACCCAAAGAGTCAAGTTGAAAATAGTGCAGAAAAATCTATCCACACACCAAATACCCAAAGAATCAACTAAGGGTCTGGATCCCACAGCAAGGTCCTGCAGGAGTCCAGCTGAAGACCTAGGGCCCATAACTATGCCCTCCACAATGCTAGAGGCCTAGAGCCCCTGATAGTGTCTCATGCAAGTCAGTTTCATAGATCTGCAGTGGGAAGGCTCAAAGGTCAGTGGTGGAACCAAGTCTCTGTCAGCAGGATGAAGGACCTGTGCCAGCAGGCTGAGGGATCTGCACCGGGGCCAAGCAGTGACTCTCAAGATAACAATGAGAGCTCCCTCGAAGAGTCCCATAGCCATCCTCAGCAACAAAGACATCCCAGCTCCTCCACAGGGAGAGCTGCCAAGTTCCTATCAGGAAACCCAGCATGACAAGCTCCTCCAGGAGAACTGACAGCCCCAGGAGAAGCATCAGGGGCCTGACATCTCTTCTTCTCCAGTCCTTTTAATTTTGTTGACAACAATCCTCAGATGGGCCTTACATATGCTGATTCAGTTCAGCTGGGGGTTACAAATTAACCTCCAGTTGTTAACCCACCACAATATCCATTTTGCAAAGTTAATGTTAGGGTCAAGTGTGATGATAGATAAGAGTCTACACTACTAGGTGCTCAAAAGAAATGGCATTTATACTGCCATCATTTTGATCATTGTGAGTTATGACCTTAAAGCCCACCTGCTCTTCCTCAATGTAGGAGCAGGTGGGCTTTCAAGTCATGAGAATCTTTGGTCTTCTCAGAGCCTAACTATGACCATATCTTCCTATGCATAGCAGAAAACTAGTTGATTGAAAAGTTCTTTGATCTAAATTTCAAATAGTTGGTTGCTGTCTCACTGCAGGTTATACAGATGTGTCTTCAAGATGCAGCCATACATTCATGCGTCCCAGCTAACCTGCTCTGTGCCAGGTATCGTGGCAAGCAAGGGAGGAATACCTGACAAAACCGATGACTGTCCTCTTCATTGAATTGTCTTTGTCCCTGTTGCGTACATGGGGGAAAAACAGTCCAGACTCTCTAAAAAATGTCATTCTTTTAATGCCTCAATGTGTATCCTTCCCTAACAATCACTCCAAAGAAGCATCTGCCACAGACATTCATTGTTGGCTGCAGATTTTGTGTTTTATAGAAAAGAACTTTACAAACAGGCATTAATTTGACAAAGCTGAGTATTTGTCCAGATCAGGAACTGCCACTAATAGGACCCATGCACACAGAATTAATAAAACAACATTGAATGTTGAGGACATCACTAGTCTAAACATGAAACATGGAATTCAGAAGCTCCTTACTTTCTTTCTAGGGAGACATAGGTATAATTTGCTTTGCATAAAGAAAACATCTTAAACAATTGCATACAAATAATTACTCCTTAAATGAAAGACTCTCTTAAATATACTTTGAAGGGCTAGGGAGACAGCTCAGTGGTGTAAACGTCTGCCTGGGAAGCACAAGGTCCTGAGACTGACCCCTGATACTGCATGCTGTACCTGCCCCAAAACCAGACATGGTGGTGCACACTTGTAATCCCAGCACTAGGAAGGCTGAGACAGGAGGATCACTGAGTCTGAACTGCATAGCGAGACCCTGAATCAAGAAATAAATAAGTAAATAAATAAACCTGTAAAAGCTGTTCTTTAAAAAGAAATCTACATCAAATGATTTGCAAAGTTAAAAACCATCTTGGGGGAACAAGAGGACATTATATTAAGTAAAATTAGTCAGGCCAATACAGGCAAATATCACATGTGAAAGCTAGACAAGTTACCTTCAAAGAACTAAGTGATGACAAGAGGTGGGACGAGACAGTGGAGGGGAGGAGGTAAGAAAGGTCTGAAGGTAGTACCAGACCCAGTTGCCATGGAGGAATGCGTCCCTACATTACATCAAAGTACAGCGATGTTTTACAACAAATTATTATGAATTTTATGAAGAACTAAAAGAAAAGCATGATGTCTCCAGGCACAAAGAGATGATAAGGAAATGAAAATGCTAATTATTCTGATATGATCATCAGATTGTATCCATGTATTGACTTAGGCTGTATCCCATAAATGGGTATAATTATGGGTCTGTTAAAATGAAAAATCAGAGACGACCCAGGCCGCGGGGTCCTGAACAGACCCAGAGCGCAGGCTGGCGAGTGAGTGAG